TGATCACAGTTAAATATTTCATTAAGAACCGTAACAGATGAAGAGCAGAAATGAGACTTCTAGAGCGCAGACACATGCTGCATGCTGAAGGGGTCAGTCTAGTGGTTCTGTGTGTGCATGTGTCATGTCAACGAGGTAATCACTTTTTTTGTTGTTGTTTTTAACACATACACACATTACCTAAACTATAATCTCAATGTTAGACAGCACACCAGTTGATCAGCGAAAGTTTGTCCACCGACAGTTTGATGCAAATTGCAGTTGTAAATTACAATAACCACACAAAATGGCAAGCTCAGATCTGATCGGCTGACTGTATATTGTGGGATTGGATGCACCTGTTCACCTGAAAAAAAAAAGTGTCCTATTTACCTCGTACAAGGCAAAATCTTTTGAGGAAGATTTAGTGACTGCATTTTCAAACGTTTGTGAGGTCCAAGTTTTTTGTTTTTTTTTCACTGACTGTTTATGTTGTTTGGGACATTTAATTTTGTTTAGACATTTGTTTTGTTTAGAGACTTTTTTAAACATTTATTTATTTTTTTTTTTTGTTTATTTATTTATTTTATTTGAGACATTCATTTTTTTTGTTTTGTTTAGTTTTGTTCACTGACAGTTTTGTTGTTTCAGACGTTTTTTTTGTTGTTTTTTTGTCGTTTAGTTTTGTTCACTGACAGTTTTGTTGTTTCAGACGTTGTTTTTTGTTTTGTTTTGTTGTTTCAGACATTTTTTTAAGTTAGTTTTTTGTTGTTTTGTTTTGTTCACTGACAGTTTTGTTCTTTGAGATATTCTGTATCCACAAGCAGGGCCGTTTCTAGGCATAGGCGAGCTAGGCGGTCGCCTAGGGCGCCACCAGCTGAAGGGGCGCCAATGAGCGCACGTACTGGCACTCATGGGCGTTGCTAGGCCATTTTTGATGACTACTCAGCCCCCCTAAAAATTTTGCGATCAGCTCCATAAACTGTACATTAATTTGTGATCGCCTTAGTCCCCTTTAAATTTCATATGAATACAGCGGCAGACTTCGGCTCCTCCCCGTCTTTCAGCGCGTTCTTCAATAAGCTGACCGCGGCAGCGCAGAGCGAAAAACAGAGCCAGAGGGCAAGGTGTGTGTTTATTGATAGATTGTTATAATATCTGCAACTGTGCAGTTCTTTGTCATAAATACAGTTTACAAAAGATGCGTTTCCTCATCACAGTACAGTTGTTTCCTCCAGCAAAAATGAAACCGCATATTTTATGAAACGATCATGTTGCCATTTTCATTTGAAAATGTAACTTTCAATATAATACATATTACAGTGCATGTGCAAAGAGGTTTGCATACTTGAGCTAAAGAAAGAGGGTTGTACTAGAAAAGCAAACAGTAAAATGTTGTGTTTGTAACTACAATAAACAGGTGTGTGTGTGAGATCAGGAAGGCTTATTCAGTACTAAAATGTTATACCTATCTAAGCAATACAGTGGAATACTGCAATAAGTTTAGTAAACCATCCCTATTAGTCAAAAAAAAAATGTATTTATATATATATATTTATTTTTTATTATTACCCTCATTGGGGGCTGAGCCCCCCTAAAATGAAAATCATAGAATCGCCCCTGGGTTTAGGGGGAGCTAGGACAGACAACAACACAACCCTTACGAAAATTAACGATGATTTTACTATAAATCCAAAGACAATGGTTACTATTGTTAAACCATGGTAACCACAAATTAACCATG